GTGACTCCTTCCGCCTTCCTGTTCTTTCTTTTCTCCTCTCTGTTAGTCCCGCCCATACTTCCTCCCTAGCCACTGGCCAATCAGTGTTTTATTAATTGACCAATCAGAGTAATTTGACACACAGACCATCCCCCAGCAGGGAGTGGTGATAAGGTTGGGGGGGGCAGGATATGGCTGGGGCAGGGATGGCACAGCCAGAGTCAGAGTAAGAAGAAATGTCTTCAGCAGTTGTTTCATGCTGTATACTCGCCTTATCTACTTCAAAACGGTTTGGAATGGTGTTTAAATTGCATTTATTTGTGTGTGTGTGTGCGCGCGCACACACACATGTACAGGGTTCAGAGGACAACTTGCAGGAGTGTGTTTCCTCCTCCTACCACATAGGTTCAGGGTGTCAAACTTAGGCCGTCAGGCTTGGTGATGGCACTTTTACCCAGTGACTCAATCTCCTTGGCTCTGATTTTTTTTTCAATTAATTTTTTTTTTTAAACACTGTCTCACTATAGAGCCTGGTTGGCCTGAAACTCACTACATGGACTAGATGAATCTCAAACCTGCAGATTCCTATACCTCCCAAGTACTGGTCTGTCCCACGAGCACCACCACATACACAGTCAAAACTGTATCTTGTAGAAAGATTTGTGAAAATATTGCTGAGTATGAAGCAGTGTGTAACTCTTGGAGCACTGTGGCTAGATGCATTGGTTGGCCTGGGTGGTTTCTGATTGTTTGATGGTATTAAGAATGGAACCCAGGGCCTTGTACATACTGGGATATCCCCAGCCTCTGGTGGGAGTTTTAAATGAAGGTTATTTTAGAAAGTAAACTGAGGACCTGGGGAGATGGCCCAGCAGTTAAGAGCACTGGTGGTTCCTCCAGAGGACCCGGGTTCAATTCCCAGCACATGGCGGCTCACAACTGTCTATAAATCCAGTGCCAGAGGATCTGACATCTTCTTCTGACCTCCATGGGCATAGTAGACAAAACATCAATGCATATAATTAAATAAAAATCATTTTTTTCCATTCATAAAACTTTTATTCCACTTACATGAACTTTAATACATGTGTTCTTAACAATTATGCTTGGATTGTTCATGAAAATTTCCTAAGACATTAAGACAAAGCTAGCCATCATCTCAAGTCATTTCCCTGTTAACTATTTTTACAGCACATGCATGTTAGGCAAGTATCAAAAAAGAAAAACCACAAAAGCAAAAAAACAAAACAAAAAACAAAAAAAAGTTAAATACATGGGATTTTGTTTACCGCTGTGCTTGATACACATGGAGCAGTGAAACCAAGCATTTCATTTGTACTGCATCTTTACTTTTACATTTGTTCTTAGATTGCCTAAAACATTTAAATACAAATAAAATGTGTAGCAAAAATAATGAAAGCAAACAGCAGGTAACTTTACAAATAATGGAATGTGAACCGTTTCTGCCCTTATTGGAGTAAATTGGGTCACAACTTTATCTAAGGACCACTCCTGGAGCTGTGGCCAAGAGTGTGCACGCAGAGACACACACTCCCGAGGTGTATCCAAGGGGTGTGTGTGTGTGTGTGTGTGTGTGTGTACCACAGCCTCACAAGTGCTCCACACCTTAAAGTACCCACAACAACTACACTCATGACTGGAACCAATTATCCCTTTTATTCCCCACCAGCACAAACCAGTATGTAGGCAGTTTTCTTTGCTTAGACATGGAAGCAGTTTTAACACTGGCCCTTCTGAAGCCACAATGTATCAAAAGTACTATGCCAAACATGTGTAACTCGTGTAAAAATTCCACATCCCCATATTGGCCACCTCAAGATGAAAACAAGTAACTCCCTAAAGTTAACTGGCTCTACTCCCCTAATATTAAAACATAAAAACCACATGGGAAATATAGAAATTCAAATAGAAGGAACATAAACCTGTCATAAATCGTAAACAAAAAAACTATTTGTGGGACAGCATGGATGACAAATGGTCTACTGTGTAAATTTTAGAATGAGGCAGACAAAGGTTGGAAGGCCGGTTAATTTTCCCCTCCTTCTCCTGCTTCTGCTTCGTCTCCTTGGGTGTCCGACGTCCACAATGTCAACTTGTCTCTCAGTAACTGCATGATTAGCGTGCTGTCTTTGTAGGACTCTTCACTTAATGTATCCAGTTCAGCAATGGCTTCATCAAAAGCTGTTTTTGCAAGAGAGCAGGCTTTCTCTGGAGAGTACAGAATCTCATAATAGAACACAGAGAAGTTAAGGGCCAGACCCAGTCTGATAGGATGTGTTGGTTGCATTTCCTTTTTGCTGATTTCAAATGCTTCTTGGTATGCTTGCTGTGACTGGTCCACAATTCCTTTCTTGTCATCCCCAGCAGCAATCCCAGCCAGGTAACGGTAGTAGTCGCCCTTCATCTTCAAGTAGAAGACTTTGCTTTCTGCTTGCGAAGCATTGGGGATCAGGAACTTTTCCAAAAGAGACAGCACATCATTGCAGATGTCTCTTAGCTCCGTCTCAATTTTCTCTCTGTATTCCCGAGCCATCTGCTGCTTTTTCTCAGCACCTTCCGTCTTTTGCTCGATACTTGAGACGACCCTCCAAGATGACCTACGGGCTCCTACAACATTTTTATAAGCAACAGAGAGAAGATTCCTCTCCTCATTAGATAACTCAGCACCTTGCTCAGTTACAGACTTCATGCAGGCTGCCATGTCATCGTATCGCTCAGCCTGCTCGGCCAGTTTGGCCTTCTGCACCAGCTCATTTTTATCCATAACTGGATATTCTGTGTCCGGAGTGGGTGGCGGCACCCGGACGCGGCTCGGCAGTCTCTGGGCGGCGGCACTGGCGGCGGCGGCGAGGCTGAGACTCTGTCCCTGATCTGACTGCTCACAGGCTACAGCGGCTCCGCAGACACGGGGTTTCCTCCAATCACTAGCCCCGGCAGCAGGGGCACCACCATAAAAATCATTTTTAAAATTAAGTAAATTTGCTGTCTTAAAGGCAAGATTTTACATCCCAAGTCCCATAGAAGTGCCACAATTGGCCCCCCAAGTAGTTAACTACAAAATAACTACCTCTTTATATTTCAAACTTGCATACTCTCCAATGGAGAGTTTCTGCAATTCAGAGACCATCTGAACTTATTTATATAGCTACAATATCTGATTCTGTTTCCATGAATTCCTGTAAGAACAAATACTCTCTTGGTGTAATTGCTTCAGGGTATTTAGAAAGACACGAGGAAACAGAATAAATGTCCACTTGTGTTTTTCTGTGATCTACACAGAAGCATTTATATCCTGACTATTTGGTGTCCTAACTTCTGAAATGGAGGCTTCTGCTTGGCGTAGTTTTTAAACAATATGATATAATAAAATTGCCTGCCTGGCTACTTTTCTCTTGATGGCTCATGGCACAAAAAAAGAAAAAACAAATCTTAATAACTAACTATATGTGGTTCCATGTAAAGAGGGGCTGATAAGAAGCACGTTTTCTTTTATTACGAAGCCATTTTGATAAGAGAAACAGGAAACAACCTAACGCTGCCCAGATGGGACCAGTGGCCAGCTGTGCATCAGTGACCAGTGTCTGACCCCAGCTGTGCATCAGTGGCCAGTGTCTGACCCCAGCTGTGCATCAGTGAGCAGTGTCTGACCCCAGCTGTGCATCAGTGAGCAGTGTCTGACCCCAGCTGTGCATCAGTGACCAGTGTCTGACCCCAGCTGTGCATCAGTGACCAGTGTCTGACCCCAGCTGTGCATCAGTGACCA